ACCACTAACTTCACACGTGCCTCATATCCCTTATCCCTTAATCGTCCCTTAAATGACGGGGCGCGCCAAAAGTGCCTCAGGGGCTCTTCCGATCGCGAAAATAATGGTCCCAGGCGATTCCCCGGGTCGATATCTAGCCGCACCACCACTAACTTCACACGTGCCTCATATCCCTTATCCCTTAATCGTCCCTTAAATGACGGGGCGCGCCAAAAGTGCCTCAGGGGTTCTTCCGATCGCGAAAATAATGGTCCCAGGCAATTCCCCGGGTCGATATCTAGCCGCACCACCACTAACTTCACACGTGCCTCACATCCCTCATCCCTTAATCGTCCCTTAAACGACGGGGCGCGCCAAAAGTGCCTCAGGGGTTCTTCCGATCGCGAAAAGAATGGTCCCAGGCGATTCCCCGGGTCGATATCTAGCCGCACCACCACTAACTTCACACGTGCCTCATATCCCTTATCCCTTAATCGTCCCTTAAATGACGGGGCGCGCCAAAAGTGCCTCAAGGGTTCTTCCGATCGCGAAAAGAATGGTCCCAGGCGATTCCCCGGGTCGATATCTAGCCGCACCACCACTAACTTCACACGTGCCTCATATCCCTTATCCCTTAATCGTCCCTTAAATGACGGGGCGCGCCAAAAGTGCCTCAGGGGTTCTTCCGATCGCGAAAAGTATGGTCCCAGGCGATTCCCCGGGTCGATATCTAGCCGCACCACCACTAACTTCACACGTGCCTCATATCCCTTATCCCTTAATCGTCCCTTAAATGACGGGGCGCGCCAAAAGTGCCTCAGGGGTTCTTCCGATCGCGAAAAGAATGGTCCCAGGCGATTCCCCGGGTCGATATCTAGCCGCACCACCACTAACTTCACACGTGCCTCATATCCCTTATCCCTTAATCGTCCCTTAAATGACGGGGCGCGCCAAAAGTGCCTCAGGGGCTCTTCCGATCGCGAAAATAATGGTCCCAGGCGATTCCCCGGGTCGATATCTAGCCGCACCACCACTAACTTCACACGTGCCTCATATCCCTTATCCCTTAATCGTCCCTTAAATGACGGGGCGCGCCAAAAGTGCCTCAGGGGCTCTTCTGATCGCGAAAATAATGGTCCCAGGCGATTCCCCGGGTCGATATCTTGCCGCACCACCACTAACTCCACACGTGCCTCATATCCCTTATCCCTTAATCGTCCCTTAAATGACGGGGCGCGCCAAAAGTGCCTCAGGGGTTCTTCCGATCGCGAAAATAATGGTCCCAGGCGATTCCCCGGGTCGATATCTAGCCGCACCACCACTAACTTCACACGTGCCTCATATCCCTTATCCCTTAATCGTCCCTTAAATGACGGGGCGCGCCAAAAGTGCCTCAGGGGCTCTTCCGATCGCGAAAATAATGGTCCCAGGCGATTCCCCGGGTCGATATCTAGCCGCACCACCACTAACTTCACACGTGCCTCATATCCCTTATCCCTTAATCGTCCCTTAAATGACGGGGCGCGCCAAAAGTGCCTCAGGGGTTCTTCCGATCGCGAAAATAATGGTCCCAGGCAATTCCCCGGGTCGATATCTAGCCGCACCACCACTAACTTCACACGTGCCTCACATCCCTCATCCCTTAATCGTCCCTTAAACGACGGGGCGCGCCAAAAGTGCCTCAGGGGTTCTTCCGATCGCGAAAAGAATGGTCCCAGGCGATTCCCCGGGTCGATATCTAGCCGCACCACCACTAACTTCACACGTGCCTCATATCCCTTATCCCTTAATCGTCCCTTAAATGACGGGGCGCGCCAAAAGTGCCTCAGGGGTTCTTCCGATCGCGAAAATAATGGTCCCAGGCAATTCCCCGGGTCGATATCTAGCCGCACCACCACTAACTTCACACGTGCCTCACATCCCTCATCCCTTAATCGTCCCTTAAACGACGGGGCGCGCCAAAAGTGCCTCAGGGGTTCTTCCGATCGCGAAAAGAATGGTCCCAGGCGATTCCCCGGGTCGATATCTTAGTTAGTGGTGGTGCGGCTAGATATCGACCCGGGGAATCGCCTGGGACCATTATTTTCATGATCGGAAGAGCCCCTGAGGCACTTTTGGCGCGCCCCGTCGTTTAAGGGACGATTAAGGGATAAGGGATATGAGGCACGTGTGAAGTTAGTGGTGGTGCGGCTAGATATCGACCCGGGGAATCGCCTGGGACCATTATTTTCGCGATCAGAAGAACCCCTGAGGCACTTTTTGCGCGCCCCGTCATTTAAGGGACGATTAAGGGATGAGGGATATGAGGCACGTGTGAAGTTAGTGGTGGTGCGGCTAGATATCGACCCGGGGAATCGCCTGGGACCATTATTTTCGCGATCAGAAGAACCCCTGAGGCACTTTTGGCGCGCCCCGTCGTTTAAGGGACGATTAAGGGATGAGGGATGTGAGGCACGTGTGAAGTTAGTGGTGGTGCGGCTAGATATCGACCCGGGGAATTGCCTGGGACCATTATTTTCGCGATCGGAAGAACCCCTGAGGCACTTTTTGCGCGCCCCGTCATTTAAGGGACGATTAAGGGATAAGGGATATGAGGCACGTGTGAAGTTAGTGGTGGTGCGGCTAGATATCGACCCGGGGAATCGCCTGGGACCATTCTTTTCGCGATCGGAAGAACCCCTGAGGCACTTTTGGCGCGCCCCGTCATTTAAGGGACGATTAAGGGATAAGGGATATGAGGCACGTGTGAAGTTAGTGGTGGTGCGGCAAGATATCGACCCGGGGAATCGCCTGGGACCATTATTTTCGCGATCGGAAGAGCCCCTGAGGCACTTTTGGCGCGCCCCGTCATTTAAGGGACGATTAAGGGATAAGGGATATGAGGCACGTGTGAAGTTAGTGGTGGTGCGGCAAGATATCGACCCGGGGAATCGCCTGGGACCATTATTTTCGCGATCGGAAGAACCCCTGAGGCACTTTTGGCGCGCCCCGTCGTTTAAGGGACGATTAAGGGATGAGGGATGTGAGGCACGTGTGAAGTTAGTGGTGGTGCGGCTAGATATCGACCCGGGGAATCGCCTGGGACCATTATTTTCGCGATCGGAAGAGCCCCTGAGGCACTTTTGGCGCGCCACGTCATTTAAGGGACGATTAAGGGATAAGGGATATGAGGCACGTGTGAAGTTAGTGGTGGTGCGGCTAGATATCGACCCGGGGAATCGCCTGGGACCATTATTTTCGCGATCGGAAGAACCCCTGAGGCACTTTTGGCGCGCCCCGTCATTTAAGGGACGATTAAGGGATAAGGGATATGAGGCACGTGTGAAGTTAGTGGTGGTGCGGCAAGATATCGACCCGGGGAATCGCCTGGGACCATTATTTTCGCGATCGGAAGAGCCCCTGAGGCACTTTTGGCGCGCCCCGTCATTTAAGGGACGATTAAGGGATAAGGGATATGAGGCACGTGTGAAGTTAGTGGTGGTGCGGCTAGATATCGACCCGGGGAATCGCCTGGGACCATTATTTTCGCGATCGGAAGAGCCCCTGAGGCACTTTTGGCGCGCCCCGTCATTTAAGGGACGATTAAGGGATAAGGGATATGAGGCACGTGTGAAGTTAGTGGTGGTGCGGCTAGATATCGACCCGGGGAATCGCCTGGGACCATTCTTTTCGCGATCGGAAGAACCCCTGAGGCACTTTTGGCGCGCCCCGATTGCCCTTAATCGTCCCTTAAGGGACGATTAAGGGATAAGGGATATGAGGCACGTGTGAAGTTAGTGGTGGTGCGGCTAGATATCGACCCGGGGAATCGCCTGGGACCATTCTTTTCGCGATCGGAAGAACCCCTGAGGCACTTTTGGCGCGCCCCGATTGCCCTTAATCGTCCCTTAAGGGACGATTAAGGGATAAGGGATATGAGGCACGTGTGAAGTTAGTGGTGGTGCGGCTAGATATCGACCCGGGGAATCGCCTGGGACCATTCTTTTCGCGATCGGAAGAACCCTTGAGGCACTTTTGGCGCGCCCCGTCATTTAAGGGACGATTAAGGGATAAGGGATATGAGGCACGTGTGAAGTTAGTGGTGGTGCGGCTAGATATCGACCCGGGGAATCGCCTGGGACCATTCTTTTCGCGATCGGAAGAACCCCTGAGGCACTTTTGGCGCGCCCCGTCATTTAAGGGACGATTAAGGGATAAGGGATATGAGGCACGTGTGAAGTTAGTGGTGGTGCGGCTAGATATCGACCCGGGGAATCGCCTGGGACCATTCTTTTCGCGATCGGAAGAACCCCTGAGGCACTTTTGGCGCGCCCCGTCATTTAAGGGACGATTAAGGGATAAGGGATATGAGGCACGTGTGAAGTTAGTGGTGGTGCGGCTAGATATCGACCCGGGGAATCGCCTGGGACCATTCTTTTCGCGATCGGAAGAACCCCTGAGGCACTTTTGGCGCGCCCCGTCGTTTAAGGGACGATTAAGGGATAAGGGATACCTGCTAGGGCAAAATTAATGTCATATTCGTGCTCCCCGTCCCCGAATTGACCAGATATGACGTTTTCAAGTGATTCGGTACTCGACGCTGAATACGAATCCGAATCCGACGCCAACTTCACGCACATTGTCTTGACGGACATGCTTTCAATTCAAGCTGCTATTACACTGCAAAAAGCCAGAAAGGCCGACAACGTCAAAAATGGACGCAAATTCGCCAAAATCAAAGTTTCTGTGATATTTTCGTCAATTTTTGATAAATCACTTGTATCAGTTTATTTGAATACTACTTATAAATGCTTATTTTATTAGTTTTCTTTTCTGTTTTGGTGAATGTGGTATTTTACACTCAGTGAACATGCTTGATCTTAACGGCTTTTAAAGAAAAACAACATCTTAAAATGCATTCATTCGTTATATATTCAACATTTTAAGTCATAATACATAATTCAAAAAGCCAAGAGTTTAAAAATCCTTTTCATATTTTCAAGTGTTTTCAACCTTTTATCTGTGAATTAGACGTTTGCTCCTTTATTTAGCTCAACCTTGGTTTGCGTGAAGTTAATGCGCCATTCGCTGCTCATTGTGGAGGGGTGTGAGGAGACAGGCCTGTGCCTTGGGCCTGTGAATTTTCGTGGGATTTGAATTTTGATGTGGTTTAACCTGTCATTCTAAATTATAACGCTGTGAAGGTCAGTACTCGTATACTATCGGTACCTATGCGATTGTGGCTCGAAAATCGTAATTTATTTAGCAGTCTATTTGAATCTGAATTGTCAGACTCACAGCAATAGCGTAACCAGCAAATAAGTTGACAGTTCCAGCTCAAAGTTTGATGGGAGTGAACATAAGTGGAAAATTAAAAATATCTGAAGACTTGTTGTAATATCAGTGCTGGGATGTGTTTATGTTATGGGCTCACAATTTCAATTTGCAGCAGTGTATCGGCCTTAAATTCCAACTGGCAACATGTATTTCTGATGTCCGGAGCACTCTTCACAGGCCCTGTGTGTGGTTAGGCTATGCAGGCTGTAAGCTCCGCCCACTGTGTCCCTACATCATCCTTCCATCGCAACACAGCGACCACTGTGGTCAGTCAAGACCAGCCACAGGAGCAGGACCGTCCACCGCACACAGCTGTGACGTCAGAACCGCCTACCCATCCCCTACCCCCACGCCTGCTGCACACACCGCGCTCAGCAGTCAGCAGTCTGCGCCGCGGTACCTGTGAACACCCCTCTGGTTACTTAAGTAGGTACCTACCATTTTGTTGACTGTTTTCTCTTTGATAACTCCCAATCTTGTTGACAGGTGCTGCTCCATTACCAGCCGACCACTATCTGCCGAGGGCTGTCCCTCGGCCATGTCGCCCCGTGGCTGTCATCAGTCACACCTGCTGGTGGCCGTCACAGCCCTCATATGGTTCGGGACAACACTGCCTGCTGCTGCTGACATCTACGTCATCGATGATGATCGCAATGCCACAGTGCTGTCAATGGATGATGCACCATCCGCCTTTGGCCCTGTGGTCAATGTAAATGGACTAGAGGTGAGTGATGTTGGAAAGTCACTTTATGGGGATATAAGCTCAGTAATCATGACAGTTACAATATTTTGGCCATCATAACCATAATGATTCTGGCTGAATTTCATAAACAGAAACTTTTATAACATGTTTTCAGCTTAGTTTTGTAAGTGGCCCACTGGAAGGCATAGCAACAGAGCTTGGCAAGTCGGGGGACCAATTCACACTGGTCTGAGCCAAACAGGCTGGAAATTATCACCAGCTGATGCCAAAGAAGGCCTACAATCCACAGTTCACGCTAGGACTACCAGCTGTCACTGGTTCCACAACTCAGCATGGCACCACTTTAGAGTCACATCTGGCTGCCTACAAAATCCACAATCAAATCTCCGCGGTAAATCTCCGCGAGCAAATCTTAGGACCAGGCTAGAGTCTCAACTCTGCACCATACAGTGAAAGATGTGCACTGGCTAAGCGACCCCACACTGAGAGCTAGCCAAAATTGTTATGTTTTGCAGCATGAGACTGGACGATAGTGACATAAGGCTGTAGTCTGAAACATCACCTCCCTCCCCTACCGACAGGGTCCCCTGGTGATCAGTGACCCGCCCAACGCCTGCGGCGCTCGCCTGAACGTCAGCGCGCCGACTACAGATCGGATCTGGGTGCTGCTGATCGAGCGTGGCGATTGTCAGTTCCAGAGCAAAGTGCTGAACGCGCAGAACGCCGGCTTCGGCGCGGCCATCGTCTATAATGTCGGCTCGAATGCCATCAGTGAGTGATCTGTGCGCCCTTAGTGAGTTCGTGAGTTAATGTCATTACGCTATTAGTGAGTATCCGCCTCACCGTCCGGTCATACTCTGACTTCGCTCAGTCATGATAAGACGACACTTCTGTCTGGAGCTGAATATATAGTGGCATGGTTTACATACAGTCATGTTTTGTGCATAGCCGCTGGCATATTCTCGCACGTTTACGCTACGCTATGTCGGTGACCTTAATTCGTCTACATTCATCGCCGCGACGCCGATGCACCGTCGCGAGTATTGCGGTGTTTAGTCTGGTCACATTTACACTCGACGGCGGCGTGCAGACTTTTGCCTTTGTTTGTCGTGACGATACCGGGCGGTGTCACCTGTGGATGTAGTCACCTTACCTAACCTCCCCTAGTCCCCCTCCCCGCGGTGTTTCTGCCCATCTGTGGTATCTGCGCAGCTAACGACAGTGTGTCCCCCACAGCACCGATGCACGGCAATGGGGCACAAGAGGTACGCATTCCGTCATTTTTCGTCGGTATGACGGATGGACTTCGATTGACTCGGTACACCAACGCGTCACGGTAAGTTGTGACCGCGGGTGCACAGGGTGCGGATGCCAGACTAGGTCCGGGGTAGAGCTACGCTGGCACTTCCCGACTAGTGGCTGCCTGTCGCCCGCATGCTGACGACCTTGTGTGAGTGAAGAGAAGGAAGGGACAGAGCGGGGATGGTTGGTGGTAGAGGGGTGGAAGGGGTTAGGACACCGGCACAGACCTGGTCTGTAGAGCGGGGACCACCTGTTGCCCGTGTCTATTGTAGTTAAGTTTTTTATTGTCGGTCTGTATGTCTGTCGGTCCGACGTGAGCCCGCTCGTTTCAACACGGTCTGTTGCCGACTGCCCTCCCCTCCCCTATACCAAACCTCTGATGATCTGAAGAAAGGCTGGCTGTCCCGCAATGACGGACAGATCGAATATCTGGGACAGCTAGAGGCCGGCAGACGACACGGTTTAGGGACTCCCCCGCCCCGACCCCCAGGCCCGCTCCCATCTCCGGCCTGTCTATCTCTAATATCGGCCGTCGTTGCGTGCGATGTCCGCACGTGACGATAGGTTGCTGATCTCCCTTCGCCGGCGGTCGTACACGCTCGATGACTCACACACCGTAATGGGGGTAGGGGGAGGGGGTGCCCCTGCTGCCGGTGCAGCGCTGTTGCGAATGCCTTTGTGTTACGGGATGGGCAAGCGGCGCACTTTCAATCAAGCGTGCGCTATGACGCATAGGATGTTGCTAGACGCTAGTTACAGAACTGCTGAGTGCGGAGTCGATGGATTTTCGTTGACTCCGACTTCGGGTAGAACTGTCGACTCCAACTGACTCCGACTCCACAGTACTGGCTTGTTACGTGATGCGTGTTTGTGTTTGCTGCTATCACCATCATGCGACCGACTTTTGTGAATTTAATGGCCATTATTGTACGGGGCTACACGTGTGAGTGCTATTTTTTCGGGACGCCCTCCCCATTAATCTAGTGTTCTCCAGTTGATAGCCCGTCTCGGCTCCCCCTTCCACAAGATTTTATTGGTCTTCCGTTGCATTATTCCCGCATTGTCTGTGCGATGTAGGAGGCCAAACTCCCCGTCTGCATTTTCAGCGTACAGTGCCTCACTTCCCCATTCCTTCGGCTTCCTCTGACCGACTCCAACTGACACGCTACCTCCGTGGGTTTCAGGTATCACCTTCGCATCACCAACAGTTACCCGTTCGACTTTGCCGACTACCTGATCCCGTTCGCTGTGGTGATCGCCGTCTGTTTCGTGGTGCTCGTCGGTATAATGGTGAGTTGAGCGGCGCCCGCCGCTTGGGGCCGGTTGGCAGGGACTCGAGGCCGGCCGACCGTGGCTTGAGAACGGGTTTCCCGGCTGGGGGACGATCACTAGCGACTCAGGGCTGGTTGGTCGCTATTGGTCGGGACTGGGTTCGGAGACGTTCGTTTGAGCGTTGGGGTCGCTCGGTCGAGCTGACGGCTTGTGTTTGTCGGTAGTCGGTCAGGAGTCAGGGGGGGTTCAAGGCGGTCCAAATGTTGTGATTATTACTCTAGCGGGTCGGACCGGCCGAATGGGGCCCGGTCGCTGGGAGTTCAGCCGTCTCGGTGGCTGGCCCAAGTTCTGAGCTATGTATAACTCCGCACAAACCTCGGCACCGTCGGCTACTGGCTTGGTTTCTGATGAAAGTCGTCCCGTGACAGCGAGAGGCGGACCGGAAGCTCGTCATTTCCGGTCGGACCTGTGGCGGGGATTCCGTGACGCTTTGTTCAGATTTCCAACCACCGGAGATATATTATATCTTCCATCCCCAGTATGGTGCTGCAATTCTCATGAATATATCCCCCATCATGACACTGCGACCCGCAGCGTGTCTACATAGCTCCGACCATGACGCTGCGGCCCGCCTATCTGCTTGCGTGACGGTGCGGTCAATGGAGGTCATTGGTCTCCATAGTCACTTGACGCCTATAATTCCCACGTCGGATGTCTGTGAGTGAAGTGAAAATTATCGTCGAAATCGCTGGTGAAACAATTGTTTTCGCGTTCAGATAGTGGTATCTAGGTGGTTAAGCTGAAATTTTATTCTGTTAATCGGTGGATTTATGTTTCTATGCGTCTCTCGTGACACATCGATAGCGCATGTGCGGCCGATTTGTGTTCCTATCTATCGTTCTCCAGTGGGTCAGTATCGGCGCAGCCCGGCGAGCCCACTTTGCGAGCCGATAGCGATTGCGACACACGCACTCGGGGCCACGGTTCGGCGCACGTGGTGGTAACAAGCCGTCTACAGCCCGTGTGTGTGACTGACAGCGCCGCCGGCGCGGACTGAGCGGCCGCCCGTGGCCACGCGTCCCCCAGGGACCTCCTGCGGGCTGCCGGGGCTGCGGCCCGGCCCGGCCGGTGTCTGTTGAGGGATGCCCGCTGCGGCCGCTCCCTCCAGCGGGCGGCCGCTCCTCTCGGCCCTGTTTACACGCTGGGCTGGTGGTGACGTCACTCATGCCACTCTGGCGGTGCTGGGTAGTAGGCGGGGCCTCCGGCGGCCGGGCAGCCAGCGAATGCCGCTATGGAGTTTGGTTGTAACGGATCATTGAATTCACTCCGGTCGAGGACATCTCCCTCATCTCCCTCGTAAGGTGCCCCCCCTCGTACTTCTACCGACCCGCATCAGCGCGAAAACATTCCCGCGTGACTAAAATACGATTAAAGTGGGTTTACAGCTCGTAACTCTGCTAATAATGCTGTTGTTGAAAGCCGAGATTGACAGCCGATAGATAGAAGACGGTGGCCGTAGGATGCCTTTTCTTATATTAGTAATACACTGGTAAAGTAAGATCTCGCTAGCTGGTATTCGGTCCGGTGGACAGACACTGTCCATCTACGCTCCCTTCACCGGCCTTGCGTCATTTTCCGAGTTCCACCCTCCCTGAGGCCTCTCCGTCCGGTCGTAGGGCATTTCCGCATCGTGTCTGTCCTTAACTCTGCCCCTCCCATTTTGTTATCCATATCTCTCCCCTTTGCTTCTGTTTTCCTCGCCTTTCCATCCCCACACTCTATCCCCTCCCTCGCCCCTATCCCTCCCTCCCCCCTCTGCCCAGCTACTACGTCTGTTCCATCTGTTCGCCCGCAGCGTCGGTCGACCTTGCAGCCCGCGCTGTGTCGACACCGCCCGGCCAGTGACGGCCTCTGCACGGTGGCCATGAAACGGGCAGTGTAAATAGTGACACACGTGTGCGGCGCGCGGCGGCCGACTCAGTGGCCTACTGCGCGTCACAGCGACATGGCACCCGCGACCGCGGGGGGGGGAGGAGGAAGGGAGGAGGGAGTGACACTGGTGGCGGGGGTATGTCAGAGAGTGTAGGTCTCAATTGGACGCCGCTACCGAGCCTGGGTGTCTCTTGATGCAATCTGGCGCAAGGATGTGATGTTTGTACATTTGGAGTTGGGAGTCTGTCGTCAGAATTTGACCTTGGACATGAGTTCAGTGGTCGTGGACGGCAGGGTGTAAATATTTAGTTTAGCGTCTCTTTGTTTTCTTTTATAATGGTTGTGTTGATAATATACAGGGTGTCTCAAAAGTTCGCTTACAGGTACCAGCCATGCTTTTTTGTCAATAATTCTGAATCAACATGAAATTAACGGTCGAAATTTTGCATGGGCATTGGTAACAACCTTCCTCAAGCAGCTTCATTGTTTTCAAGCGCATTCGACCCTTCATGAGCACACAAAAAGGGTTCACCTCTGACCATGGATCAGGCATGAAAATGGAGGTCGCATACTCGGGTCGGCTGAGAAACTCTCTGCTTCACGAGTAATGGGAATGGTTAGGTCGGAAATGACACATGGCAAAGTGTCAGCGAGGATGAGTACAACATGATGGTCATCTAATAAAAACGGTGGCTAAAATGTTTGAAGGACAAAACCATGCGAGACTAACAGCGCTTTGAACGACCCTTGTACCGCAGCAGACTCGTGCTCCGGAAAGCAGCTGAAAATGCAGTCCTAACTATTGAAAACTGACTAGAAGCTCACAGACAGAGGTTACCCAGTTTCAAAAATTGCAGGTCATCATAAAATAAAGACAATATATCATTTAAAATTGTTTATAATATCTATAACGCTAAATTTTGAGGGAAAATAATGCGAAAATCGTCAATGCCGAGGACAAGTGACCCTCCAAAAGTGTCAATTAATGTAAAGTTTTATCTAACGAAGTTTCAAGAGGCAGATCTGGAGCAAATAGCTTTCTCTTACACACAAAATCCGGACAAAACCGCACGATGGACAGGTTTTGGCCGTTTACAAAGCAGAATCTCTCCTGAGGAAAACACTCCGGAACCCAGCGAAGGTCTTGGCATTGGGAATGACGAGCGTTCGGGATTTGCAAATTTTGCAAAATGTGTCTAAGAAACAGATAGCCGACACATTCTGCTACAATATGCTGCAAAAAATTTGCCCCTGGCACTTCCCATTTATTCAGGAATGGGGTTGTTTTGAAAAGGAAAATGGTGCTTGGGAGGTCGGCGCCAGTCATTCATGAAGGAGTTAGCGCCAGAGAAGACCTACAAAATACTCACGGATGGTGTCGATGCAAGCTATCGGCTTTCAGGGAGAAGCGGATGTTGCCGGGGAGCTCGTCAAACCTAAATCCGACGCAGAAACTGCGGGGGATTCCCCTACAAGAGCTTGAAAGCTGGTAACCTTTTATCAGCCTCCGGCAGCTGACGGAGTGACGAAAATCGGTATGGGCAAATATTTTTGGAGATACAGCAAAGGGTTTGGTTTCCAACCTTCCGAATCAGTTGTCAAAGCATGCATATTTGTCTAGTGTACACACGGACACCAAAACCTTAGATTTTTGGCCGGTTCTTATATGCTTTATTGACATGGGAAATGTGTAAGCGAACTTTTGAGACACCCTGTAGTGCAAATTTTCGTACCACCTTCAAACGTAGAAAAAACATAAGTTATTTTACGAACATGCTGCTTATATTCATCGTAATAATTATCAATGAAGAGTTGAATCTCAACATTCATCGTATGCTGACTGATGCTGAAGTATTGAACCCCGTTCCTTCTGCCTCTATTACGTGTACCGGCAAGTACAGACAGGGTGCTAATCCTTCCTCTCTTCTCCCATTAGCTGTACCGGTGCTGGGCGGACCACCGCCGGCTGACCCGTCACCGGCTGCCCAAGCGCGTTCTGGACGCCCTGCCCGTGGTCAAGTTCGACAAGGCGGTGCACACATACGACACGTGCGCCATCTGCCTGGATGACTATGAGGACGGCGAGCAGCTGCGCATCCTGCCCTGTAACCACGGTATGTGGGCTTCGTAACCACGGTACGTGGGCCCTGTAACCACGGTGTGCCTGCGGCCCGCCAGATGGGCCCATCCCTCCCCGTAACCATAGACAGTTGGGCGCAAAATGACCTTGTAGTCGGCGCGCCCGAAAGCCCCAATAAACAAACAAACCGGTAACCACAGTATGTGAGCTGTGTAACTACTATGATATTCCCATTCAATCAGCTTTCAGCAGCGACTCATTCTGAGATGGAACCACGATAGGTATGGATCTTTGGCTGACTTGTCTTTCCACTGTTCCCTGATAGCGCAGGTATTACACCAAAACGTAGTCACCACCAGCGCGCGTGCGTGGACCCTTGGCTGACTTGTCCTCTGTACCCCACAGCGTACCACACCAAGTGCGCGGACCCTTGGCTGACGTGTGTTCTATTCCCCCACAGCGTACCACACCAAGTGCGTGGACCCGTGGCGCTGAGTGCTGACTTGACCTCTGTTCCCCTCAGCGTACCACACCAAGTGCGTGGACCCGTGGCTGACGGGTGTTCTATTCTCCTACAGCGTACCACACCAAGTGCGTGGACCCGTGGCGCTGAGTGCTGACTTGACCTCTGTTCCCCTCAGCGTACCACACCAAGTGCGTGGACCCGTGGCTGACGGGTGTTCTATTCTCCTACAGCGTACCACACCAAGTGCGTGGACCCGTGGCTGACGGGTGTTCTATTCTCCTACAGCGTACCACACCAAGTGCGTGGACCCGTGGCTCACGCGCTCGCGGCGCGTCTGTCCCGTGTGTAAGCAGCGCGTGCGGCTGGCCGGTGACCCGGAGGCGGGCGCCGGCTCCGACTCCGACACGGCCAACACAGACACGGAGCGCGAGCCACTGATCGCGCGACGACAGAGGCGATACGGATCGACGGCACCGGTGAGGAAGGGAGGGACGGGTCGGCGTGACGGGTGAGGGGAGACGACTCTACGGCACCAGTCAGGGATGAACGGGACTAGACTTACAGGGCAGTCAGTGATATCTTTGACAAGACATCGTGATAATCGACTATGGCAGAATTCTGACATTGCATGACAAGGGGTTTCGATAACCTAGTTTGCAGTCCAGGCGCTCAAAACCCCAAAGCATCGTCATCGCATTGTGTCCATTGACATTGTGTGATTCTGGTCTGACATGTCCGTTGGTATCTCCGTCAGGGTCGGGAGCGGTCGTCGTCCGGAGCCAGTGGATCTCGCCAGGACTCTGACGGCGTGCAGCCACCGCGCCGTCCCCACCGGGTTAGTACCTACTACTTCCCCTACTACACTGATTCACTGATCTACTCTCTTTCAACACCCTCCCCTGCCCCCAATTAGCCACTACCGGGTCGGCGTTAACGATCAAGATTTAGAAGAGTTTAAGCTTAACATCAATTACAAGTCAGGTGTGATATCCGTCCTCATTTCCGTGAACTCATACAATGCTTATAAATCTCCTAAGCAATTATACTCGAATGATTGCTTTGTTGTCGGACCGATCTATGTGACCGTACCTACCTGGCTGGCAGAATGGCCCGCCTGGGATAGGAGCAGCACAGTGTGCTATGGCAGTTCAGCTACTGATCAAGTGATCGTGTTTTTCTGTCGGTGCAGTCGTCTCGCCGCCTGCGGAGACACCAGCGCGCGCTGGCTGCCGCCCGGCCCGCCTCGGCTCCGGCCCCGTCCGCCCAGCCTTCTGACACCCTGGACACACTGCAGGAGGAGGAGCCTACGTTCATTGTACCGGTGAGTCCCCCCCCCCCTCCATCCGACACCTTGGACACTGCATGAGGAGGAGCCCACGTTCATTGTACCGGTGAGTCCCTCCTCTCCATCTGACGCCCTGGGTACACTGCAGGGGGAGGAGCCCACGTTCATTGTACCGGTGAGTCCCTCCTCTCCATCTGACGCCCTGGGTACACTGCAGGAGGAGGCGCCTACGTTTATTGTACCGGTGAGGAAACTTCTTAAAATAGGACCACATTTTTATCGGTCTTGCTGACTGTGAACCGCTAACCCTAACTTATCCTACGTGCGACTTCAACAGTCTGATTTTATCGTACGATGAATTTAGGCCACCCGTTAAACTATGTAAACAATGTACTAATCTCTGGCTGTCAAACATAATTGGGTGAAGACTTCCACTGGCGTCCAACTGCCATCTTACTGAGCAGACGTCCAAGTTGGCGTCTAACTTGGCGTACTGTTGGACGGAGACTCTTAAGCTAGACGCGTCTGAAGTTAGCTGTCGCCAGATAGCCGCAGCCGCCGTCCAGCTAGACGCGTCTAGCTGGACGCGAAATGGAAGTCTCCACCCAATATCTGCATAACCCGATATCGGTTTGACTTGTTTGCTCCTTGTTTGTCGTAAGCTGTCATGTTTGGGCTGTTGCAATTTGAAAGTTTAGAGGTGTTGAACTTGATCAATGTGCGTATTCTGTCAGGTTCTTCATCACTTACCTATTTACTCCTTGTGTTTATGTTTTATTTATGTATAATGTATATGCCACTATTTTCTATATTATGTTTTTAGCCATTCAACTATATTGTTGCTGCCTCAATTTATAAAGATATTGGTCTCTTGCGGTGTTTCATAGTTCATACTCATCAATATTCATGCTCCATGATTGCGCAAGATATTCACCTTTCATTGCGTAGTGTCTGATCAGAGGTGCGCCTTTTTTCAGGCCGCTGAGGGCCCGTCGGCTGCCGGGCCGTCCAGTGTCGAGCCGCCCAGCCTGCCACGGCGCCAGGGACCGGCGGCCCGTGGCTACCGTCCTCTCGACGACCAGGACTCAGGTGGGCCAGGCGGGAGGCGTGGATAGGCCCTGGGATGGTGGGCGTGGGGTGGCGTAGCGTAGAGTTTAATGGAAACTGACCTTTGGCTGATAGTCTTACCATGATTGTAGCGTTATGTATGACTCTTTTCCTGACTCTATGACCTTTCACGTTATGCAGATTCTTCGCTTTTAGACGTTGAGTAGTAATTGTGCACTTAAAATCCGGTCAAAACTAAAATAGTGAATATTCAAAAATTACTTACCTACGCATCAATTAAGTTGGTATACCAAATCAAACACTGGAATGCGGTGTTATCTCGAATGTAAGTGCTGAGCTTGCATACCTCCGTAGTGATCGTCACGATGCACGTGCTGATGAAGATGCCGCATCTCCTTGTGCGATACTTACTCGGGAGATCTGATGCACCCATTTGACTCTGTATCTGTCTCACAGACGACGAACCGGTCCCCGCCTCTGGCACCGAGGTGGCGGCGGCCGGCCGTCCGGCGGAGCAGCCCGCTCCCATCGAGCCGCGCGTGGTGGTGGTGACACCAGAGAGCGGCGGACGGCCGCGCGCGCCCTCCGCCGACTCCGCCGGCCGGCAGCCGCGCGTGGTGACCGTCGACGCCGACGAGGATACCGACGGTTCCGACGGAGGGGCTGCCGGGGAGCGTGTGTGAGACGTGCAGGCGAGAAGTGCCGGCCGTGGCACTGAGAGAGGATACGGGCATAGCGGCGACGTGCCCGCTAGTGACGGGGATGAAGGAGGCGGCCGCTGTCTGCGACTGGACCCAGTTGGACACTGCTAAGGGTGAAGATGGCACTGTGGAATGCTGCTGAGGTCACTCCTTCTTAGGTGACTGCCTGAGGCAGGTAGCCTGCACTGTAACCGCCACAGAGGCTGATGTGTTGACTGTGGGCCGCCATGTAGATTTCCATCCGTCGTGACAGCGGAGAGTGCCATTACCCCGACTCCTTACGCCCCTCAGCCAAGGCGAACGCCGAACGCTGATTAGGTGCCTGACCCTAGCCACGAGCAGGTGAACCACAGTGCGACGAGCAAGTGTGCCCATTGAGCGGGCTGCGACCGCCGAGAGATTGTATGACAGGCACTCTGGTTAGCCTTCCGAGCACCGCCTGGGTATAATATGCTGTCCTGTTTTACGTGTTGTGAGCACTGAACTGCAGTGTGTATGTTTGTTTAAATGTAACTCTCATTTTGGTACCCACGTATGGTCCAAGGCTAGGCTTATTTGCCTTTAACGGAGCGTTTTTATCATTAGAGTCATCATATTCGTACCGATTTAAGGTTGCAATCCTTGTCAGTATGTTTTATCTTGTATTACTATAGCTGGGACGACGCATTACGACCGCGGTGTGACGCTGGCGGTCGGCTGCGTCACGAATAGCTCAGTCACTACCATTGTTACGATCGGCTCGTGACGATTCCGTGACGGTCAGCTGCGTCCCGTGTTGCCGTGAGCGGTCACGCAGCGTCTGTGTCGTAGCGCGAGTGGTGTGTGCGTCCCTGGTCAGAGTGGTAACGGGTAGAGTCGGTGGCTGTGTGGTCCTGTATGTCAGATAACAGACTGTCAGCCTGTCACTGCGGGCTGTCACCCTGTCACTGCGGTCTGTCAGCCTGTCACTGCGGTCTGTCACCCGGTCACTGCGGACTGTCACCCTGTCCAACTCCCGGGTCAGTCTCCGCTCGCGGGCTATGGCAGCTGGCGACGGTAGATAGCCGGCCGGTCTGTACCACTAACAGCAGAAGCGGAGCGCCGCGCCGCCGGCGCTGCAGCTCCGCCGTGACGCGGCTCGAACAGCTGTGTAAGTGTCAGCGAGTCTGAGTCAGCACAGTGACGTATCGCTCCGTCTGTCTGACGACGGAGAGGGCTATCGGTGGAATGCAGCGGGCCGACTGTGTAAATGGGTTTTTCACACCGTTTTAGTGAGTGTATGATGTGCGGACGACTGTTTGGGACATTAGAAACTTCTTAAAGTGTTGCCTAACCGTTTGTCTGCTGCCATCCCGACGGGGTATGAACTAGTGACATAGCTTTAGAGCATATGTATGTGCATACATTGTATCCATGC